TTTAAATCTGTTTAAGATAATACACAGATTTATAAATAGGACCTTAGGTATTTAATTTTTAAAAATCTATAATGATTACGGTGGAAAAAATAAAAGAAAGGTTAGAAAATTAAATGGTTAATTGATTAAAGTATTACATAGATATATATATACTACAAAGTTCTATGTATACTCAATCAAAAAGAGTAAAAATGACATGAAAATATGTTCTTAATAAGAAAGAACATTTGACCTCTTTTTGGAAAAATATTTAATGAAAGTACTGAAAATGAAAAGATCACTATTAATTCTCTTAATTAGTTACAGAAATCCTTTTCTGTACCAGGTACAGCTGGGCACCGAAGGTGAAGACTAGCTCGCCTCAGGAACAGAGCAGATTAGGAAATTCCCAGGGATAGAGACATACAGGTAATCACCTAAAGAGCTATTTAACTGCAGGGGTACTACAGTAGGATGCCTTTAGGTATCATCCCTGAAAATTCCTCCCACTTCTGAATGTTCATGCCACTCTTCCCATGATATGTAGAGTCTCTTTCTCCCTCCCCTTGAACCTAGCCTTGCAACTTGCTTGAATGAGTAGAATGTGGCCTGACACTATGCCAGTTCCAAGCCTAGATATTAAGAGGCCTAAACAATTCTAGCTTTGCTTTCTTGCTTCCCTGAACTGCCACATACTTCATAATAGTCCAAGGCCATCTTGTGGAGAAGACACAAGATCTTCTCCAGAAGAGAAGCCCTGTTGTAGGTGACAACAGGTGGAGATGGAGAGCACCAAGACAAGAACAAAGCTGCCGCAGCAGACAACCAGCATCAGAGTCCCAGACAAGTGAGAGCATCTTATAGTGTTCAGCCCAAATCAGCCTGCTTCAACTGGCAGCAGATGAAACAGAGACAAGCTGTCAGCACTCACCCCTGACCAAATTTCTAGTTCAGAGTCATTAGCAAAAAAAAAAAAAAAAAAGGAAAAAAAATAGGTACTTTGAGGTGATTTGTTATGCTATAATAGGTAAGTGAGACAAACAATGGTGCTTGAAAAGGTTACTAGTGGAACAGAAACCTAAAACATTGGCTTTGAGAACACAGAAGCAGGCAGAAGCTCAAAGGGCGAGAAGAAGACAGGAAACTGAAAAGCAGTAAGGAAACCGCTGTACAAGGCCAGGAGAAAAGGGGCCCAGGTTATTTGCTGGCAGAACAATTGGCATAATTATACACAATTTCAAGTAGTAACTTAGAATATTAAAAATATACTTAATGAACATGTAAGAAGATTTCTAGGCAAAATATTCAGTGTCACTGGCTTCTTTATAGCCAAGTGTGAGAAGGTAAAAGAAGAAAATCATGTGCTAAAGAATTACAAGCAGAATTTAAATGAAAGATTTCTAACCAGGAGTTGCCTGATTGGAAAATAGCTGCTTCTCATCACTAGCCTCTATAGATAGCAAAAGACTGTCAGAGAAACAACATGAAGACAAATAAAATACCCAGAGTGCTGCCAATAAATCATGGGCTCACAATCATCAAATCAAAAATTCATCAGTAAAACCTTTTATTAAGACCACGAAAAGATTTTTTTTTTTAAGTTTATTTATTTTGAGAGAGAGTGAGAGCAAGCGGGAGAGGGGCAAAAAGAGAAGGAGAAAGAGAGAATCCCAAGCAGGCTCCACACTGTCAGCACAGTGCCCAATGCAGGCACAAACTGTGAGATTCTAACCTGAGCTGAGATCAAGAGTCAGACGGTTAAGTGACTGAGCCACCTAAGTTGCCCTGACTACAGAAAGACTTAATAAGGCAGGGCTATATATTCTCTCAGGTAGGCAAAAGAGCTTCTAAGAATCTTACAGGACCCTAACTTGGGATCCAAAGTGAGAGAGTCCTGTCACCGAAAGAATTGTGGAGTGGACATTGGTTTAATGGATGCACTTATAATCTGATATATAGAAAACCCACAGTGTTTAATGGAGTTCTGTCAGTTTGGACTTAAATAAACACTGTTCCAAATGAAAAGAGAGAGGCCTTTAGGTTTTCAAACTGTCACATACATGAAGCAGATTGAAATGGCTACTTAGGTGGAAACAAGGTCCATTACTTACGGAGAAGTAAAAATGAGTCACTGAGTGGAGCCAAGAGCCCAAAGGAGCAAGCCAAGTGCTGAGAAAAATAAGGAATTATGAAGCTGAGACCAGAAGTGAGAACCAAGCCATAATCAAAGAACATTATCTGTTCCCTGATCAGATTTCAGAATTGCTTTGGGCCAGAGACTGCCATTCTTTCACTCTCCGCTATGAGGCTCTATTGTGGTTAATTGTTCCTGTCTCAAAATTATATACTGAGTGTATGGCAGGGTGGGGGTGGAGTAAAATCTGTCTTCTTAGTTCACAGGTATCCAAATCAAGAGGAGCTGTACCCAGAAAGCCTCACCTGCATATCAACCTAATGCAGATGATAAGGCAATGGACTTTGAACCTGAAGGTGTAACTGAATGAGTTTTGGGGGTATCTTAAGAGGGCTGAGTACTGCATGTTGGGAAAACAGTGAATTGCCCACCAGAAGAATTGTGGTAGTCCATCTGCAAAGATGGCTGCCAACAATTCCTCCTATTCCTGTGCACACATGCTACTTTTCTCATCAAAAGGTAGAATCTCTTTCTATTCCTGTAACCAATATTACACTATATATTAACTAACTAGAATTTAAAAAAAAAAAAAAAAAAAGAGGTGGAATCTATTTCTCCTTCCTTTATACCTTGGCTGACACAGTGTTCTGCTTGAAAAAAGACTGTGATAGAAACAATGCTATGTAGTTTCAGGCCTAGCCTTCAATAGGCTGAGAAACTTTTGTTTTTGTTCTCTTGCCACCCTAAATCACCATGTAAACAAACCCAGGCTATCCTTCTAGAGAGAAGCCAAGAGCCAAGAAGAGAAAAAAGCCCTGGTTGATGAATGAACCAGCCACTTAGAGAACAAAGGAGAGGTCTCAACTAACAACTAAAACCCAGCACCAAGGCCATCTTGGATCCCCTAGCCCCATTCAAGTTACCTCAGTCAATTCCTCATGGACCAGAGCAAGGTGTCCCTGCCCAAACTCCTGACCTAAAACTTATGAGCAATAAGATAGTTGTGATTTTAAGCTGCTAAGTTTTGGAGCAATCTCTTGCACAGTAACACATAATTAATATATATAGTGAGTGCAGTAAAGGCTATAAAGGAAAAGCACTGGGTACTTTCTAAGACTCAGTATTAGAGATGCAAATGTAATCTGGGAGAGAGGGAAAGACTGTTGAGAAGTGATATATTTAATAGTAGTTATTTAACACCATTTAATAGAAAGGGAATTGTGAACAAGAATTGCTGATTTTACTTCTATTTTCTTAAATTTTTAATATTACACATTTTACTTTTGAAATAACAAAAATATTATTTTGTTAAAACTTCCTTAAGGATATTGTTGGCTTTAATTGTATTGGTTCTATTGTACTGAAATTCACTAGGTCTAAAAGAGATTTTTTTCATGACAAAATATGTAAACATTTCAGGAAATAATAAAGGTTTTCTATTATTCTATGTAACCAGAGAACAGGATGTTCTGATTATACTAGCATTCCAAGAAATAAGCAGCGTACATTGATTTAACAACTTCTGAAGAATTAGAATGTAGTAAAACACAATTAACTTAAAATTATACTCCTTATAATTTATTATCACACTGATTTTTGGAAACTTCTTCAGGTATACATAATTCATCACAGTTATCATTGGGTATAGATGTGGTAATGTAAGACTGAGAGAAGTTAAATAATACTTAGATAACAGAATTAAGAGTGGAAATGACCAAAAAGATTAACATAATAGACTAAAGCCAATAAGAGAAAATTAAACAGTAGTAACTGAGGATTAAAAGGAAACTCCTAAAGCACAAATGAGAAAACAATCCAATTTAACTGTATGAAAAGGACATGGGTTTTAGCTGGCCACAAGTATATTAGCCAAAAGTAAGTAAGCCATATCAGCATGAAAACTGTTCATGTGATCTTGGACTATACTGATAATTTAATCAACAAATATTTCCTGAAAGCCTAGATCATATATCCCGTATTTCACTAACAGAATATAGTGACAAGATCCAGAGAAGGAATAATTTCACCATATTTAGAACAAGTCAAACTATATATGGAATATTAAATCCATATAAAAGAAATGGTTGAAAAAATTAGAGAAATGTGACCTACAGAAGGAAAACTTTCTAATTTGAATACTACCCTAAAGGAGAAAGAAAGCTCTTTAAAAATTCTTTCATTTTATAAAATACATTAATGACTATGTAATGGGCATTGCACTAAGCACACGGATACAATCAGAGAATAAAATAGATATTGTCCATGTCCTCATCCCACTTAGCAGTTTTGTGGACACCCTATCAGTGGAAGACCTTTAGCAGTAATAAATAATAATCTGGCATACATATTATAAAATATATTCATGTACTTTGCATAAGACTGAAATAAATGACCTCCAATGTAATTTCCAAATCTAAAATTTTGTGATTACTTACTTACAGCATGAAAGAACGTTAACTGTTATTCTGAGATAAATGTTTAATGAATAAGATAACAGGCAGATCAATACACATATACACAGGTTTTTAAAATATTATCACCTAGTAAAACAACCATATCAATTCATATGGTCAGCCTTTATAGGCAAACCACTCAAAACCAACTTCAATCCACATTAGGAAAATCCACCTCAAATTTTTCTATCATTTCAAAGAACAAAAAAAAACTTTTTAAGACTTATTTTTAAGTAATCTCTACACCCACTGCAGGACTCAAACTCACAACTCAAGAGGCACATGCTCTACCAACTGAGCCAGCCAGGTGCCCATCAAACAACAAAAATTTTTTTTAATCTCCTTATCCTAAAGATTATTTTACCGAGTGAAAATAATTCCAAAGAAATTAATATTTATGGTTTCTCTGAGACTTCTTATATTAATCAATATACCTTTCCATGGCTTTAGCTGTATAAGGCAAATGCATTTCAATACTGTGTTCATCTTCATCTGTCTGCAGAGACATGCGTTCAAACATTCCTGTCTTCCATAGTTCTCCGTAAACTAAAGAGATTTCAAAATATAGTAAAACAAATATATTAATATATATCCTTATTCTGTGAGACTCCACTCAGTAACAAAATCTATATGCTTTGGCAAGAGACAGAAGTACCGTATAATAATTTTCCTCATTTTTATCTTTAAAAAAGAAGAAAAAACTAGCTTTTTACATACCATACAAAGCAAAAACACATGTAATGACTACTGAGCATTTTCATATATTATACAGTTCTATTATAATAGTAATTTAAAATTTTCATCAGTTCTTTTCATTACATCTAAAATCACCTCTGGGTCTAAGCTTTTCCTTGACTTTAATCAGCACATGCCAAAAAGAACACAGTTGATTAGAACTCCTAGTAAAATATGTCAAAGCCAGTGATCTACTACTCATAAGGTTAATAACATAGTTTTTAAGTTTTGTTTTGTTTTATAATAAACTCTATGGGATTATTATTTCCCACCTCAGATGCCTGCCACACTAGAAACAGAAAATTCCTATTAAGCATGCTATATTCCTCAAAATTAAAAATCAGGCTTCTGGGACAGGCCAGAACATAAATTTATCATAGTACCATGCCACAAATAATCCTAAAATGATCTAGTATTTCAGACCCTTCTGATTAATCATACTTAAAACTGGATATTGTACCAAAAAGATTAAATTTAATATGTAAACTAAATAATATAAGAATATTTTTGTTTTATCATTGAAGAGAACCAACATTTTTATAACTAAATCCCTAAATGGGTTTACCAATATCAAAGAAAGACACAAATGATGGTATAACTTTTTTTTGCAAAACTATACCTTATTAAAATCATCAATTCCTTCATTAGAAGGCTATCTAAAACCAAAATTTTCTTAATGCCCCAAGGTTTTAAAAATAAAGTGTGTCCTCTAAGAGCATCACAGGGAGTAATAAGGCTAGTTATACTCCAGCTTCATTAGTAAAACTTACTCTTACAGCAAATTACTAATATTCAGTGATAATTAAAACCCCAAGTTATGAAAAATTAGGACTAAAAATAAGGAAAAAGAGGTGATTATCTATTATGCAAATGACTTCTTTCATTCTACAGAAGAATGCATTCCAAAATTTCTAGAAACAATAAGCACAACATACTTAAAATATAATTTGATGAGCTGGAAGAATACACAGCACGTTCATGAAGATGGTCTTAGGGAACGTAAACTGAGTTCACACGCTGGAAAAATTCTGAGTCAATTGTGGATAGAAGTACAAGAATATTTGTTACACTATTCTCTGTATTGTTCTGTATGTTTAAAATTATGCTCCCCTCTCCTGCAAAATTACTATTATAAAGTCAAAGCATTTAATTTACATATTCAATGAATAAAGTGAGACACAACTAAATAAAAGATATGATTTCTAGAATCCTATGGAAAAAAAATATCAAAATAATAGACATGTTTTTAAAATAAAATGCACATAAGATTTATGTAGTTTCAGAGTTTCACAAGTACCATTATTTTTCCCCCCATAAAGATCATTTGAGAGGAAATAAAGGCATTATCACCATAAACTATTTACAATGAGGAAAGTGATAACATAGAGGCAGACTAACATGTCCAGAATCTTTCATCAAGTTGTGGTGCGTACTAACTTCTTGTCTCACAGTACAGTGAGTACATGGTACTTCCCTCAGTACAGATGTAACAACTAACAGTCTGGAGAATAGTGGACCTAACAGATTTTTGTGACTGGCAAAAAAAAGTGTAGTCATATTTCTTTGTTTTTGCTTTTTGCAGATAAGCTGCAATCAATTTTATCTTTAAAACTGAGATAATACTTACAATATTCATATTTTTAATTTTTAAATTAATTTATATTGCTAATTTTAGAAAATCTTTAGCTGCTTAAAAACTATAAGATTTCTATATACTTACTCTTTTGGTCAATACGAAGGTCATACAGAGGTGTCCTATATATATCCACACTGGAAAGTGCACATCGAGAAAGGGGCACATGATGAGAAGGCCCAAGGATGAAAATTCTCCGGCTAGGAGATATACAACAAAAAGCACAGAACAATTGCACTTCTACACAAACCTTATTAAATAAAAGGGGAAAAAATAATTTTTAAGAATCACATGTGGTACCATTTTCCTTCTTGACTGATTTCATTACTTACTGTTAGTGGCTAGATTATGTACCCCTAAAATTTATGGTGAAGTTCCACCCCAGTACCTTAGAATATAACCATATAAGGAGATGAGGTTTTAAAAGATCATTAAATTAAAATGAGGCTATTCATGTGGGGACTGAATCCAGTGACTGGTATCCTTATAAGAAGAGTAAGAGATACCAGGGGTGCACATGCACAGAGAGGCAACCATGTGAAGAGGCATCATGAAGAAGACAGCCATCTGCAAGCCAACAAGAGAGGCTTCAGGAATAACCAACTCTACCGGCATTTTCATCTTAGATTTTCAGCCTCCAACTGTGAGAAAATAAATTTCTGCTGTTTTCAACCACTTACTTCGTGGTATTTTATTAGGGTTATCACTAGCAAACTAATATACCCACTAATGATTTGCTCCTCAGTTAATTAAATTCAATTCCTTATCTTTTTTTTTGGAAGGCCTTTAAAAGAACCATTTTCAACACCTAGGCATACTAGTTACTGATTTACTGGTCTACAGTAAATCAACTGATACTAAAATCATTTCTGTATTTACACTGCCAAGGATACAGAAGGTTGTCAAGAGCTATACATATTAACTGAATTTAAACATTTCAACTATTAAATAAAATCTTAAAATTCTAACACATTCTAAACTTCCTTCCGAAGATCTATCACAACTTTAATACAAATACAGAATAGCATGATTTATAAAACTCCATACGAAATATCACTACAAAGAACCATTCTGATAAAGCTATTTCCACATTTCTACCATAGCAGAGAAAAAAGGAACCTTGTTGAGAAAAATTCTGTATAATAAGCTTTCTCTGTTCCCATTCAAATAGAAGTCATTCTCAAAAACAAAGAAATTTGATTATGTGTTATTTGCACAGCAGCTAAAGAAAAGAACTGGGCTAAACTATAGCTTAAATCTTTACAGTCCTTTTATCTTGATATCGAGAGTAAAATTAACTTCCCCTCATTTTATCTCAAACATCCATACAAACTAAATTCTAAAACTATCCATTTTCTGCTTTCCCAGATCCATATGAACGAAACTTCCCCCACCACACATACACACAAACTTTTAGACTCGAAAAATAAACCTATGAGACAGAAGGAATTATATGATAAGCTACGTACCTAGAAAAAATTAATTACTATTCATTGCTCAATTAATGGACAAAGTCTGACACACGACCTAGGTCTTTCATATCAAAAATTTGCAAGTTGGGGTGCCTGGATGGCTTAGATGGTTAGGCATCTAATTTTGGCTCAGGTCACGATCTCGTGGTTTACAAGTTCGAGCCCCATGTTGGGCTCTGAGCTGACATCTCAGAGCCTGGAGCCTGCTTCAGATTCTGTCTCCTTCTCTCTCTGCCCCACTCCCACTCATACTCTCTTTGTCTGTCTGTCTGTCTCTTTCTCTCTCTCTCTCTCTTAATCCTCAAATCAGTTTTCTAGGTGTGCAGGATGGTTTAGTGTTGATCTGACCGTATATCATGGATGCGGGGACATACAAAAAACTTCCCTGATATTCTGCCACCTTGACTCCTTCCCACTCCCTTAAAAACAAATAAAACATTAAAAAGAAAAGACTAGAAAAAAACCTTACAAGTCAAGGAATATGCTTAGGCAATATACTTACTTTTATAAAATTCAATTACAGCTAAGAAAATTAACCTATTGTCTGCTACCTGTTATATGCTATGGCCAGGGGAGGGGACGTTAAGAAAGATGTGGATAAAGGAAACAGCAATTCTCAGCTTAGAGTCCCAAAACTTCCTCAAGGTGTCATATACAGCAAACATAAGACTTTATTCACAGGCCATTTCTAATCAAAAACATAATCTTTCTTCCCCCTCTTCTTGTACTGCTAATACTCACTTCTTATCAACACCTCTATGAGCAAGTCAACAACCATCACACACACACACATCAAATCAAATTTACAATCCTAAATGAACAAGAGATACCACTATGTTCTCTTATCTTAATAGTACATTAATACCACAATTTTAAAAATTAGAGTCCAATGTGGAAAATAGATAAAGGTAACTCTGAGTGTTTAGATGACTTGCCTAAGGACAGTTATGACATGAACCAAGAATCAAGTATAAAAAAGAAGACATTTTTATGACTGAGGAATCCATTTCTATGAAAAGACAGAGAAATAAAATATTTAAAATCAGAACACTTCTAGGAAATCCATCATATATAATTAAAATATGAGATGACTTTTAAAATATCAATTTAAACTCAAGACATAGATACATTTCTAGGTAGTGTAATGAGGTTCTAACAGTGACCAAAATAGGAGCACTACTCCAGAATTAAACATCAGAGGTCAGCTTATAAAGTCTAACTGCCCCATCCAATACCTGACTATTTACCTTGTTCGCCTTATTTGCCAGACCAAACCTGGATGAAATGATAAGACCATAGGGAAAAGAGTTCCTACCCATCTGAATTAGGCAGTTGTGTATCCAACAGATTCATTCTAGTTTGGCAGAAACTTGCTCATATGCAACACAGAAAAAAAAGGGGTTTAGGTCACATCAATATAAAAGGCGTATAAGTGATGAACCCAAAAATAAAAAAACCTACATGACAATGAAAAGAAGGGAAAAAAGTACATATTAGTAGTAATCTCGACATGGGTCTCTCTGTTGGCTATCTGCTAACCAAATTAATAATATAAATAAAAAACATTGCATTTTCTTTCTTTTTGCTAGATTGCTAGATCCATAAACACCAAGGCCACAGGAATATTTTGAAGAGAAAACAATGTCACTTTCCCTTCCTTCAATTAATTGCAAAGTTCTTGCAATTAAACAGACTCTTGGTTTTGGCTCGGGTCATGATCTCAGGGTTCATAGGATCAAGCCCCTCATCAGGCTCTGCACTAACAGAGCCTATTTGGGATTCTCCCTCTCTTTACCTCCTTCTGCCCCTCCCCTGCTCACACTCTCTCCCTTTCAAAATAAATAAATAAAACTTAACAAGAAAAAGAAAGAAAGAAATGTAGCTCATGTATAATACCTCCAGAGAATTCACATTTGTAGAATTACTTACTATGAGAAGTATAATCTGTACATCTATTATATAAGTTACCTGAGTATCTGCCCTCATAAATATTTAAATACTTAATCTAAATAATGGAATACAAGTAATTTTTTAAAGATGTTTCCCGGCAAGTGGAGATATTTTAACTAAAGAATTAAATGGGGCACCTGGGTGGCTCAGTCGGTTAAGCATCCAACTTCGGCTCAGGCCATGACCTTGCAGTTCACAGGTTCGCGCCCCGCATAGGGCTCTGTGCTGACAGCTTGCTCAGAGCCTGGAGCCTGCTTCGGATTCTGTGTCTCCCTCTCTCTGACCCTACCCCATTCATGCTCTGTCTCTGTCTCTCAATAATGAATAAATGTGAAAAAAAATTTTTTTTAATAGCTAAAGAATTAAATGACATTTGGTTCTCTTTTCCTATACCGAAGGCTTTCTGAAAGATATATATCAAAATCAAATTAATATTGGGGCAATGGGTGGCTCAGTTGGTTAAGCGTCTGACTTCAGCTCAGGTGATGATCTAGCAGTTCATGGGTTCAAGCCCTGCATCGGGTTCTGTGCTGGCAGTTCAGAGCCTGGAGCCTGTTTCAGATTCTATGTCTCCCTCCCTCTCAGCTCCTTCCCCATTCATGCTGTCTTTCTCTCTGTCTCAAAAATAAATAAAACTTATTAAAAAATTAAAAAAAAAATCAAATTACTATCTAAGGACATCCTGAATTCCAGGTTTTTAATTAAAATTTTAGTAATAGGGAAAGATTCTACAATGATAACTATGGGAAATAACTTAACTGTATAATTTTTTAAATTCCTTTACTCCTTTTGAAACATAAATCAGATCCCATCACTCCCTTGCTTAAAAAGTCTTGGGGTACCTGGGTGGCTCATTGGTTAAGCATTCAACTTTGGCTCAGGTCATGATCTCACAGTTCATGGTTTTGAGCCCTGTGTAGGGCTCTGTGCTGACAACTTAGAGCCTGGAGCCTGCTTCAGATTCTGTGTCTCCCTCTCTTTCTGCCCCTCCCCTGCTCATTCTCTCATTCTCTCTCCCTCCTTTCTCTCTCTCTCTGTCTCTCTCAAAAATAAATGTTAAAAAAAAAAATTTAAGTCTTTCAGTGATTTTTCATACAACTGGAGGATAAAATCTAAAATCCTTAAAATGGGTTCTGAACTCTCAAATGAACTAGCCCTCTCTTGTATTACTTTCCCCAACCCTACCCCTAATCACAATAGTCTATGATACTGGCCTTACAGTTCTTTAATGATTGGAACTACTCTGCCTACTTGAAAGCCTTCACACATGCTACTGTTCCTTTTGCTTGGCTTCAAAATCATTTCCTCAGAAATACCTTCCCCACTACCTTTCCCATAATTTAAATCCAATCACCCTGGTATCACAGCACTTCTTGAATTGTGACCTGTAGATTCCTCAAGACCCTGCCAAGAAGTCCACAAAATCAATACTATTTTAGTAATAATGAGGAATTCGCCTCTTCCACTATGTTGCCATCTGCACTTATGGTACAAAAATGAGGCTGGGTAAACCACTGGCACATCAGAACTGTGATCAAGATAATGGAATCAAAATGCACTATTAGTCATACATTCATTATCTTCACCGACAACAAGGTGTTTTGTTTGTTTAAGGCCAGTATCACTTACTTTCATTAAGTCTTGAACTTTGAGCAAAATTTTATGAAAATATTCTGTATGACAAAATGTTTAAATTTGTGGTGATTGAAACACATAAAGCTCTTTTGCTATATATAGAATTATGTCTTAGGGAAAACATAAAGTGGGCCTGCCACTTCAAAGAAAACATTACCCAAGATATAACTGAAGTACTTCAGTGAAAAGCAGACTTCTGTAAGACTTCTACCACTGTGAAATTAACAGCTTCCCAATAATTAATGATATTCCTGGGGTGCCTGGGTGGTTCAGTCGGTTAAGCGTCCGACTTCGGCTCAAGTCGCGATCTCACGGCTCTTGGGTTCGAGCCCCATGTTGTGCTCTGTGCTGACAGCTAGCTCAGAGTCTGGAGCCTGCTGCAGATTCTGTATCTCCTCTCTCTCTGACCCTCCCTTGTTCACGCTGTGTGTATGTCTCTCTCTCAGAAATAAATAAAACATTAAAAAAATAATAGTGATATTTCTGATGAAATTTGTGGTGATATTAACAAATGCGATCATTTGGCACTTTCTGATGAAATGTCAACATTCAAAAGATCTGCATAACTCAATTAACAAATATCTTCTAGGAGTGACTTGGTAGCTCAGTCAGTGTAGCGACCGACTTTGGCTCAGGTCATAATCTCATGGTTTGTGAGTTTGAGCCCCATGTTGGGCTCTGCACTGACAGCTCAGAGCTGAAGCTTGCTTTGGATTGTCTCCCTCACTCTCTGCCCCTCCCCTATTCGCCTTCTGTCTCTCTGTGTCAAAAATAAATAAACATTAAAAATACCAAATATCGTAATGTTCCTTGCAAGATGTTAATGAAATGATATAAAGGTAAAAGATCCATTCAAACTACAAGATAGTACAAAAGATGATCCTGGTTGACATGTAGAGAGTGGATTAGTGTGGAAGGTAAGAATGAAAGCTAGTGGTATAGAATTCAATCTCTCTTGGGCTGTTATTTCTTCTCTATACTTCTCATAGTTCCCAGAAGGATGTTCTTTCTCTATTTTCTCAAAGGACTATAAAACATGGCCAATCTCAAGAGCAGCCACCTTTCAAGAGAATACAGCTATGACTGTCAATTATTTTTAATATTAGGACCTTCAGATTTATTTATTTAACATTCAATTAGTATATACTAATTACAAAAATAGGCTGATCACATCATCATGCATCTCTTGCCTCTCTTTACTTACCCACTTTATCATCATCATCTTAGTCCTTGGCTTTCTTCCTTTGTCTCTCTCTCCTTCCATTCTCACTTTCTATCCACTTATTTAATACATGCTTTCTGCTTTTACCAACATAGGTTCTGTATCTCTCTACATATTCCTAAGCTAAATTTAATACAGGATAACACTTCTGGCAAATAACATTATCAAATATAAAAAGGCTTGGGAAAGGCTATTGTATAAACTAAGTTTGATTATCACTGATTTACAGACCCAGGATCAAATGAAGGAAACTTCTAAAAACCTTTCCAATCTATTTTTGCCCTTACAAATGAAATACATTAGATGTGGAAACTAATTTGACAATAAACTATTTGTTAAAAAAAAAAAAAAAATACTAGACAACAATAAAAAAAACCCAAATGAAATACATTAGTTAAAATTGATTATTAAATATGTATTAAATACTTTAAGTTAAAGACACTCCTCAAACATAAATGAGAGAGGGCTAACCAAAACATCATCAATTTGGCAACATTATCATTTTATTATGAAAAATGAAAAATAATTTCCAACAAACATATAATACAATGTGCAGAGCACTACATAAAAACAAAAAAGAACATCTCTTTTGAACAAATTGCTCAAAGGCAAAGGAATAGGCTGTGGGGTGAGACTTTTTTATAAACTCACCACTGCTGTGAGCTACTTCCTTGGAAAGATTATGCTCCATCTCCACTAGCACAACTCAAATCTAGCAATCAACATTTGACAGAAAGAAGATAACCAACTTTACCTATTTATACAGTGTATGTATAACTAGCATACAGACTGGAGCCTGATATCGGTTCACATTTGTGAATTTAACTATTTAAATAAAGCTAGTCAGCAAATTAAAGTAATTTGGGTAACTATATCTAGCAGAAGCTTTTCAAAGTTCACAAATTTCTTATTTTAGACCATAGTGTATTGCTTTGTAAGTCTCAATTTGCCAGAAAAAAATTTAAAGCTAATTTCAGAGCTCTCACTGAATTACTAAGAGCTAACATGCTTCAAACAACGTACATTAAGTACAGTCAGATTCTAAAATAACTCCGCTACTTCATCTTGTCAGTGAAATATTATTTTCTTTCATTAACCACAAGTACAGTAAATAATTTTAAATTACAAAATGATTAACATAGAACAAAGTACTCTGCATTCTTCTTAAAGATGCTCATCTCCTGGGTTTTCAAAGAAAACTTTAAAAACCAAACTATTTAACCTTCTAACAGCTCCAGAACTAAACATTTACCAACAAAAGGAAAAGTTAAAATGAAATGTTCAGTGAAAAACAGTATGAAAGCTTCTCATAACCTATATAAAGTATTAGATAAAAAGTCAAATTCCGAATGAAATCAAGTATATGACAGTAAGCATGCAGAAGCAAATTACTTCTGTGATGGAGCAGCTATGATGTAATTCCCAATCTTCTCCCACTTAAACAAAACCGTGTATTACTTACGTAATGGATGGGTCCACTTGTTTGTAAGCATGAGCAGCACAAGACCCACAGTACGTATATCCTGCATGGCTACAAAACAAAACATTTTTTAAACTTAAGCATCAGTTTCAAAATCAAGAATTCTGAAAAGAAAAAACTTTTTGAAAGAAATAAAACTATGGTAAACATAACAGAATTGAGTAAAAGCAACAAGCTAATGATGCAAACTCTAGAAGACAACAGAGAACACATAATTGCTTTATGTTCCAATTTTAAATTTTAAAAAATATTTTGTAGCATTTTTGGTCTAAAGGACAATTAAATTTAGATATTCAAGGCATACTTGAAGTTGCTAATGTAATACTAATAGAGTTTTTAACATTCCTCTTCAATATCATTAGCAGACTATTACATAATGGTAAGACCAAGCGCAAGTCAAATCAGACCAAATCAAATATCCTACAATGATAACTCATCTTTTTCAAATTTCTTAAACAATTTTTTCAAATTTTTATGAAATTCTAGTAGTTAACATATAGTGTAATATTGGCTTCAGGAGTAAAATTCAGTGACTCATCATTCATATACAACACCCAGTCTTATCACAAGTGCCCTCCTTAATGCCCATTACTCATTTATCCCATCTCCCACTCCCAAAACCTCCAGCAACCTCAGTTTGTTCTCTGTAGTTAATACTCTCTTATGGTTTCTTATAACAGTGTTATATTAATTTCAGGTATATAATATATGACTCAACAATTCTATTCATTTCTCTATGCTCATCAAGAAGTATATACTCTTAATCCCTTATGTATTTCATCCATCACCTCACACCCCTCTGGCAACCACCAGTTTGTTCTCTGTATTTAACAGGCTGTTTTTTTGTTTATCTCTTTATTCCTCTGTTTGTTCATTTTAATTTTAAATTTTACACAGGAGTAAAATATTTGACTTTCTCTTTCTGATTTCACTTAGTATTACACCCTCTAAGTCCATCCATGCTGTTGCAAATGGCAAGATCTCATTCTTTTTAATGGTTGAGTAATATTCCTCTGTGTGTGTCTCACATCTTCTTTATCCATTCATCTATTGATGGACACTTGGGTTGTTTCCATATCTTGGCTATTGTAAATAATGTTGCAGTAAACATAGGGATGCATGTATCTTTTCAAATAAGTGTTTTCATTTTCTTTGGGTAAATACCAAGTAGTGGAACTACTGGAACATGTGGTAATTCTACTTTTAATTTTTTTTGAACAACATCCATACTGTTCTTCAGTGATCCACAGTGGCTCTATCAATTTGCATGGCTACCAACAGTGCAAAAGGCTTCCTTTTTCTCTACATCCTCACCAACACTTGTTCTTTCTTGGCTTTCTGATTCTAGCTGCTCTGACAGGTGTAAGGTGATTTTTCAACATGGTTTTGATTTGCATTTCCATGATGATTAGTGGCATTAAGGACCTTTCCATGTGTCTATTGGCCATCTTTATGTCTTCTTTGGAAGAATGTGTACTCAGCTCCTCTGCCTATTTTTAATCAGATGATGATGATGATGATGATGATGATGATTTTGGTACTGAGTTGTGTAAGTTCCTTTAATTTTTTGTAACATTTATTTATTTTTGAGAAACAGAAGAGACAAAGTGCAAGTGGGGGAGGGACAGAGAGAGGCAGACAGAATCCTAAGTAGGTTCCAGGCTCTGAACTGTCAGCACAGAGCCTGACGTAGGGCTCAAACTCACGAACCACAGAGATCATGACCTGAGCCCAAGTCAGATGCTTAACCAACTAAGCCACCCAGGAGCCCCTGAGTTGTGGAAGTTCTTCATATATTTTGGATATATCACTTCCAAATATCTTCTCTCATTCAGTAGGCTGACTTTTGTCTTTTCTTCTGCTATGCAAAAGCTTGTTTTGGTGAAGTCCAAATAGTCTATTTTTGCTTTTGTTTCCCTTGCCTAAAGAGATATCTAGAAAAATGTTTCTACAGTCAATGCAATCTCTATCAAAATACCAAGAGCATTTTCCTTCAGAACTAGAACAAATAATACTAAAATTGTACGGTACCACAAAAGACCCTGAATAGTTATAACAATCTTGAGAAGGAGGAGCAAAGTTGAAGGTATCACAATCCCAGATTTCAAGATATATCACAAAGCTGTAGTAATCGAAACAGTATGGTATTTGCACAAAAAATAGATCAATGGAATAGAAGAGAAAGCCTGGAAATAAACCCACACTTATATGGTCAATTAATCTACAACAATGAAGGCAACGATTAACAATGGGGGAAAAGACAGTCTCTTCAACAGACTGGGCAGCTATATGCAAAAAGAATGAAACTGGACCACAAATTCAAAGTTGAATGAAGACCTAACTGGGAGACCTGAAACCATAAAACTCCTAGAAGAAAATAACTCACTTCTGTGTCTTTTGTAATAAGAGAATTGGCTTGGCTTTCTGTGTAATGTGCCTTTACTTTTTTTCTGCCTACTACTCTTCCCTTTCATCTCTTGGTCTCAGAATTAGATTTGGTTCTCTTATTACCTATGAAATGACTTTGTTTTCTGATCTCATTTTTCTTTCTCAACTCATTCAAGTTACATGACACACTTCCCTAATGCCTACCTATTAGTGTGTGACCAGTGGTATACTGGTAAATATTTAACAACTATCTTTGCAGAGAAAAAAAATGTATGCACATGTACTTAAGCTTAACATAAACTTTTCTGAAATAAAAGGATATGCACCTATTTGCACATAATTTACAAATAGTGAAAAATACATAATTCTCTTAATTGCAAATTCCACATAGTCAATTGATTGTTACAGAATGCTTTCATTGATTTTTGCTGAATTCTTCTGTCCACAGCTAAGCAATGGCTGCAACTGACAAGAGTGGAACAATGAAAACATGCCGGACTTGAATGACTTCTCTGCCAATTAGGTAAGTTTTCAAATATTAGGAAGAGTATTTCCTTCCATACTTTCTTATACTTTTTTTTAATGTTTATTTTCAAGAGAGAGAGGGAGGGGGTTGGGGAAACAGAATTTTAAGTAGGCTCTGCATTACCTGAGCAGAGCCTGATGCAGGGCACTGAACTCCAACCAAGAGATTGTGACTGGAGCTGAGTCAGATGCTTAAGCTTAACTGAAGGAGCCACCCGTCATCCCTATTATACTTTTTATAACGTAAAGGCTACAGACACAAGCTAATTTTAAATTTAATCTGCACTATTAACATTTTACCCATTACAAAGAGTAAATCAAGCCCTGATTTACAGCAATTTGCTAATTAATATGTAGTAAACCATTCCTGCCCATGGCTGATTTCAAGATACACGGTAAACTGAAAAGATAAAACACAGACCAGGAGAAAATATTTATAAAGCATATATCTGATAAAGGATTTATATCTGAATATGTAAAGAAATTTCAAAACAAACCCAATACCTAAAACAAGTAACCATTTTGTAAGACAAAAAGAGTTGTGAAGATTGGTTGCAAAACAATGTGAATGTACTTAATGCTACTAAACTGTATAAATGGCTAAAAATGCTTACGATGGTAAATTTTATGTTACATATATTTTGCCACAATTTTTTTAACAGGAAAAGATAGGAATAAATATTTCATCACAGAATATACAAGGATGGCAAATAAGCACACAAAAGAACGCTCAACATCATTTAGTCACTATGGAAAGGTAAATTAAAACTACAAAAAGGTACCACTAAACACACAGTAGAAGAACTAAAACTAAAAAAAGTGACCATAACATGTATGTTAAGGATGTAGAAGTGACTTCTCCAAAGAGGACATCCAGATGGCCAACAGACACATGAAACGATGTTCAGCATCCCTCCTCATCAGGGAAATACAAATCAAAACCACACTGAGATACCACCTCACACCAGTCAGAGTGGCTAAAATGAGCAAATGAGAGAACTCTAGATGCTGGCGAGGATGTGGAGAAACGGGCACCCTCCTACACTGTTGGTGGGAACGTAAACTGGTACAGCCCCTCTGGAAAACAGTGGGGAGGTTCCTCGGGAAACTAACAATAGAACTCCCCTATGACCCAGCAATAGCACTGCTAGGAATTTACCCCAGGGATACAGAAATGATGAGGCATAGGAGCACATGTACCCCAATGTTCATAGCAGCACTCTCCACAATAGCGAAAACATGGAAAGAGCCTAAGTGTCCATCAATGGACGAATGGATCAAGAAGATGTGGTTTATCTATACGATGGAATACTACATGGCAATGAGAGACAATGAAATCTGGCCATGTGTAGCAACATGGATGGACCTTGAGGGTGTTATGCTGAGCGACATAAGTCAGGCAGAGAAGGACAAATATCATATGTTTGCACGAATAGGAGGATTAGGAGGAACTTGACGGAGGAACAAGGGGGAGAAGAAGGGTGGAAATGGTGGGGGAAAGGGAGAGAGGCAAAGCATGAGAGACTCTTGAATGCTGACAAAAACTGAGGACTGATGGATGTGGGGGGGAGGGGGATGGGCATGGAGGAGGGCACTTGTGAGGATGAGCACTGGGTGTTACGTGGAAACTAATTTGACAATAAACTACTCGTAAAAAAAAAAAAAAGGATGTAGAAGTGAAACTCAAAGTATACTTGTGGAAATGTAAAATGTTATACCCACTTTCGAAAACAGTTTGGCAATTTCTTAAAAAATTAAATATACTCCTACCATTTGACCCAGCTTTCCACTCCTAAGAAAAATGAAAGCATCATAACCACAAAGATTCGTACACAAATGTTCATCCCAGCTTTATCTGCAACAGCCAAAAACTAGAAACAACCAAATTCCTCAAAAGATGAATGGATAAACAAATGGACGTACAGAGGTGTCTGGATGGTTCAGTTGGTTAAGTGTCCCACTTTGGATCAGGTCACGATCTTGCGGTTTGTGAGTTTGAGCCCCACGTTGAGCTCTGTGCTGACAGCTCAGAGCTTGGAGCCTGCTTCTGATTCTGTGTCTCCCTCTCTCTCTCTGCCCCTCCCCTGCTCACGTGTTTTTTCTCTCTCTCTCAAAAATAAATAAGCATTAAAAAAAAT